TTTATCAGATTTCAAAGATTTATAAATTCCTATATGAGAACGTTGGAATCTCGGCTTGATGTCTTTTGGTGATATTTGAGGCATATTTAGAGGATTTCCCACACCGAACCTCGGGTTGAATGGGATTAATGAGCATATTATATTTTGGGAAAACCCTCGGAGAATAAGTTAGATGTTTATGATGAGGGTTGTGATTGTAGTGCCGATTAGCCTATTTCGTGTGACCCGATTGGCCCGAGTCATTTGCGTGAGAAACCGGCAAAGTCAGAAGGTTCTAGGGAGTCCACGGTCGGGAAATTGATAGAAGAATCTAGAGGATAAGGCCTTGACCGAGTCAAAGCTTATCCTCCAAGCTTCATGATGGCTTGCATTTATTAAAATTGGACTTTGGTGGCCTTCATCATGACTCGCAATAAATGAATCAAGACTTTAGGGCCCCTCCATGACACGTGCGCTTACCTCATGCTCCATGATGACACGTGTGCTTACCTCATCCAAACTTTGGCCCCAAGTTTTGTCTCTCTATAAATAGAAAGAAGGTCATTCGGCCAAAGAGAAAAAAAAAAAGAGAGGGAGAACCTCAAGTGAAGCCCCCCCTTCCTCTCCCTCACGCCATTTCCACGCCCCGAGAGCTCCGGCCAACCTTCTTTCTTATTTCTTGCTTTGTATTCATGACCGAGAAAGAGAGAAAAAGAAACAAAGAAAGAGAGAAAAAGCTTACCGACTAGCCCGTGTCTCTCTCTTGTGGTTTGATCGAGTGAGGAAGCCTTATGCAAGGCCCGAGTGTTCGTGTTTAAGCCCGAAAACCACCAAGAATCGCCCGAGAATTGCCGAGACTCACGTGTCCTTCACACGCCTCATTTTCTCTAGTTCTTGTTTAATTGTTGTGTAAGTGAATTCCCTAATATCGGGAAAGGATGTTGAGATGCGTTGTGACGTGGCTTGCTTGGACCGTTTCTCGGTTGTTTGGTTGGTCGTAGTTGGTTCGTTTCTCGATTTGATCATGTTTCATGTTTGATGTTGTTTTGAGATAGAACCGAGCCTTGGTTTGTAAAGTGTGCACGATGTGGCCATGCGTGATGTTCTCTTGTTTGAACTTTGCTATTGATCTGCCATCAATGCGGGTGCAGTAAGGGCCGACTTATGTTAACGGCGATTGATATATCCTCGCTTGATATTAGTGTTTTCACTTGCTGAGTCTACCCGACTCATCCCCCGTTTTTCCCTCTCAGGTTCATAGGATGGTCGAACGGACAGCGGCGACTGGGGGAGTTTGAGCCATGTTGGAGTTCGGGGAAAGCTCGGAGCTGTGAACCCGAAGTAGTGGGCTTAGGACACCCAAGCCATAACGTTTGTTGTATAAATGGCTAAAATCGGCTAAGTTGGCTTGTAAAATATGTTTGCGTGTCCTATAAATATAAGGTTTGCTCATGATGCTGTTTGTCTTAATCCCGCTGTTGTTTTTAAATGTGATTGTCCCGAGATATGCTTCCGCTTGTATTTAAAGAAAGATAATAATGAACGGGACGTCACGTTTATAACCTCGAGGTCGGGGCGTCACATTGCTAGCAGGCATAATGCTCAAGTTCGTTGATTGATAAAGTAAACTTTGGTTCGTAAGGTAGAATTGCTCTATTATGCTCATAAAGGCCTCTTAAAGAGTGCATTTAATTATGGGTCCATTGAAAAAGATCGATCATTTCCCTTAGGTTATCCAATGTAAATAGCTGCTAACTACAAGATTATAACATTCTTTTGAACAGACAGTTCATCTGGTTAAAATGGTTGATCGTCGTTCATACCATCTGGGTTTCCTCATTCATAAAAATCTTGAAGAAGAGAAATCGCTTCTGATGCCATTATACCTCCACAACATTTGAAACACTTTGATCCAGAATTTCCATTACCGCAAGAGAAACAAGAAAAAAGTTGGAAACATTCATAAATCAGGTAGACACATGAAAGGGGAAACATAGATGAAATTTATGTGAAAACCACCCAATGACATATTCCATTTGCAAAACATGTCCAAATATCAAGCAAGATATAATTTAGCAGGCTAATGAAAGCACTTTGCAAAAAAAGGTACCATCTAAGCAAAAACAAGTTCACCAATAAAGGAATGTGCTCAACGTAGGAAGTTTACGCTTAGGTCCTAAGAATATCAATTTTAAGAAATGTCTGTACTCCAGGAAATAGGTTTTCAGGCAAGTAAATTATCTCTGAAGTGTAACCTATGTCCTTGGAGAACAAACAATAGCTGTAAACAGGGGATACTTCGGGGCTTTTAACATGGATGGCAAGTTCTCTTCAGAGAGATATTGGCACGGAGAATCTGATAGAGAGAAGATTTGCAAATGATTTGTATACTAATACTGGCTAGGATGGGTTTCAATTAGCTACATCTTCCAAACATTGCATATTGACCATGCTCACCGTTATAACAGCAGTCTCATTCTCTCTAACATGAAACTAGTTGATGTGGGGCTTATGGGGAAAATTATTATCAAGTGGCAATTTAACCAACGTGGAATCACGGCTCTCCCTCTCGAAACACCATGCGATCACCACCACCTAGACCTCTCAATTGGATGGGTCGGGTCCGGTTTGAGTCGGATCGAAAATGGTCCGACCCGAATAAACCCATTTAACCATTTTTGACCCATTTCCATATAATACAAATATAATGACCCATACCCGACCCAGCCCATGCCCGACCTATACCCAACCCAACCCATATTGCTAAAACACTTTCATATTTAACTTGATCTAGAAAAACTCTTTCCCAAACCGATATGAGAGTGCGGAGTGAGTGAACGCGAGATTTAATGAGGGCGAGAGAGATGAGTTGAGTTTAAATGTTGTAAACCCATTTATAATCCATTTAACATCCATATTATGTTTATACCTATTTATGACCCATTTAGTGAATATAACTAACTCATTTATGACCCATTTACTAATATATGAGTTAAGAAATGGGTTCATGACCCATTTTGACAGATCTACCACCACCACACCACCTCTGCCCACCACAACTGCAACCGCAACCACCACGCTGCCATCACCTTCACCACAACCACCTTTGACAACCAAGAACGTATTACATCTCCACCACCATCAACCACCCAGGCAACCACCACCTCCATTGCCGTCTCTCAATGTGGCTAGCTGAGGCGGAGACCTCAGGATTGAGATCTCATCACCTTGAATCAGCGGTCGCGACCTAAGATTCAATGTTGTGAGACATCGGACTCGAGGCGACAACCTCAAGCGATGGTCAGGGATAGTGAGAGAGATAATCACAAGCTCTAGCGCGGCAGATGGCAACAGCACTACATGGCCTCATGGCATTAACGAGCGGCAGCAATGGCACTAGACTAGTTTGGATGACGGCTGAGCATGGAAGAAGATGATGAAGATGAAAGGGAAAAAATAAATATTAAAAATTATTTTAAATTAAAAATTATTTTTCTAATCCATTTCAATCGAGTGGACACTCCTATTGATCAATGTGCATCGTTTATACTGAATAAGTGAGTCAATTTAGTGAAATTTTTATTTTATACTAAGTTGTAAGATTTACTTTCCAATTTCAATTAGTCCTGTTAATTTATCAACGATTGTACTACATATTCAACAAAACCAAAACCAAGTAAAAAACAATGAAGAGTTGAAGATTACCGTTCTTGTGCTCCCTGTGTTACAAAGATCCTGCATTCTCTCTGCTAAGCCAGTTCCTCCCAATGCTACAAGCAACTCCAAAAACATCAACCTCTCACACCAATTGAAAGTCATTCTTTCACCAGCAGTTTTCCCAAACAGAAGTGGTTGTTCGCATCTGGTAAGAGAACTCTCACGGGAGAAATTCAGCGAAACTCTCAAGCAGCACTTGCCCATGCCTCCATTACTAAAGTGTGACTGCCACTACAAAAAAATAAGGTTTTAGCCACGAATTTTGCCACGAAAAATTCGGCAAAATTCGTCGCTAAATGAATTTGCGACGAAAAAAATTTCGTCGCTAATTCGGCGTCGCAAAATTTAGCCACGAAAAATTTCAATTTTCGTCGCTAATTTGCCACAAAAAAAAAAATTCGTCGCAAAATTCGTCGCAAATTTTTCGTGGCAAAATTCGTCGCAAATTATTCATGACAAAATTCGTCGCTAATTTGCCACGAACTGTATTCGTCGCAAAATTCATCGCTGATTTGTCACGAACTGTATTCGTGGCAAAATTCGTCGCTAATTTGCCCCGAAAAAACAAAAAAAAAATTCTATTTTTTTAAACAAATTTTTTTTTTGCCACGAAATGTATTCGTTGCAAAATTCGTCGCTAATTTGCCTCGAAAAAGCAAAAAAAAAATTATAAATTTTGCCACGAACTGTATTCGTCGCTAATTTGTCCTGAAAAAACAAAAAAAAAATTTCGAAAAAAAAAAATTTCAAAAAAAATTCTATTCTCTAGCTGAGAAATTAACAGGGATATAACCAAGAAACAATTTAAACTGTCTATTTCTCTGAGACAGCTAAGAAATTAACTAGCCGGTGACGGAAAGATTACTATAGCAATGTGCAAGTTTGGTATCAACGCCTAATAAGCAAATCTCCTGTAAAAACACTGAATGGGATTATCTATCGCCTATCATATATGTAATGGATTTATCTCGAGTCCTTTTTTTTTTTGGCCATGTATATCAATACTTGACTTTGGCTAAATTTCTCAGGTAACTTTAGACCTAAAAAAATCATCATATAACTAACCGCATCCTTGTGTGGACATGCTTATTCTGGCTGCACCTATGATTTAATTCTAGGACATCTTACAAAAGGTATTTCCTTTGCATGACTTTCAAGCATCCGAAATAACTCCACAAATTCTAACAATATGTTGAAAGACCAAGCAGTTCCAGAAATGAGTACCATTCGGTGACATAGATATAAACAGCAAGTACCATCTATGTTCAAGGAAATGGAGATGTAAATGTGACAAATTCGGAGGGTAATATAAAAAGTCAGTTCACATAACTATTAATTGTCAAATGCAAACAATAACAACCAATTGACTGAAGAGAACTTAATGAGATCAGAATTACAGTGTCACGAGACCTACCTAAATGACAAGCATAAGAACAAAAATAGTCACTAACATTTCCTACTTGTTGAATTCAGATCCTATATACATTCAAAAAGCAACGGTCGAAAAGATAATATAGGAGCATGAAACTACCTTGAATCCCCCTTAATTCAGAGATCATAATAAGATACACCCACTTCACCTACAAGTCAAAAGACATTTATTGGGAAGAATGAACATGGATACCAACAAGAAGCTACAACATTAAATCCTCAACTTAAGATTATTTCCAGTGATATCATGGACTATATGCAAAGTTGATATTATTCAAGTAATATCCACCATTTCTTGGAAAATAATCTCACAAACGACATTCAAGAACTGCTCAATTCGAAGACTCTGATGCTATGACATAATTGTCAAGAGGGTAAATCTCCCATTATGAAGAGTAGGGTAAACATAAACTACGTCCATCAGCCAATATTACGCCATCAATACCTATATCCATATGTATCCAAAAAATTCCAACAAGAAGAGAACTACATCGAAAACAAAAACTGTTACGGTCCAAAGATCCGACGTTTACTTTACACAAACTTACTGGTATATCAATATGTGTCAAATACTTTCATCTAGAATATTTTAAACTGGCTGCTTGCAAAGAAGACTGACAACATGATCTCCTGATGAGGTGCCCACAATTAGCATTACATAGCTAGCTGTAATAAGAACCAAAAGACAGAACTCCACCACACAAAATGGCAATAAAAACTAGCAAATTTGAAATAATGAGGATAAGGAACTCTAGGAACAGAAAAACAGCAAGCATACTCCTCCTTAAACATTGTAGAAAAATCGTACGAAGAACCGTTCTCTAAACACAAAACTAACAAATGCTCAATCAAAACACATAGTACGCACTCGCACTACAAAATGAAAGCGTACAAGAACTACACTCCAGATGAAGGGAACAAGATACAAGACAGAAAATGCGCCACTTAAATGCGACAGATCAGAACATAAACAATACAACTCCTAATAAAGCCAATTCTAAGCTTGTTAAACTTCCAAAAATTATAAGCATCCATATAGCAACTGAGAAACGTAAAGGAAAATCACTTGATAACAAACAAAATTCTAATAGTAAACCAATGAGCACCACTGATAAAATTAGTCTACAGCTGAACTATGTATATTACCGGAAAACATTGGCAACTCATCAGCAGAAACCAAACTAAACTGCTCACAAGCCAACAGACAATTCACATACAAGAATCCGAAAACCGATACAGATCATAACTTCATTTACCTTGTTGATGTGGGGCAAAGAAGAGTCCCTTGCTTGTCTATCTTGCCAACTCGAATCGAAACAAGTGGCATGCAAAAGCATATGGCCAGTATTCCAACTTCTGCAGGCTCGAAATGCTGATGATTAAAAACAAAAGCAAATCCAATAAGCCAAAATCAAACAACAACTTGAACAAATTACCCAAACCTTCTCAATAACGGTCCAATCATGCAATATCTCATAAGGGACTCTGAACCATCCGTACGAAAATTAAAATTGAAAAGAGACTCCCTATCATCAGTAGCACGGTAAAGCGTTTATCCCTCAGAGGCCACCAAAACGTAGCCATACATGCTACATACGCCGCGATTATCTCGAAATCAATCCTCAGGCAATGAAATAAGCAAAAAAACCCTAACGCTTCGAGCCAGATAGACACTTAATCCGGATCGAAACAATAAGTACCTGACTGAGGTGAGCCAACAACCGATCCGCAGCCGCGCTGCTCGACTCACTCGACTTCAACAACGGCTTCAATCTCTCATCCGCGCGGCAGGCCCCAACCACTTGCATATCGAGCACCTGCAGCCACTGCAGAACCCTATCCTCCCGATCGCTCCGCTGCATCAACAGATCTCCGTCGCCTCCCCCGATGAAGACGTCTGTCAGCCTCTTCGCCATCCCAATCTCCTCGGCTGCCCCCCTCAAGACCCTCGATGTGACATCCCGAATTTCGGCCCATAGTTGGGATTTATAAAACGTGTAATTCGTCAGTGTGCTTATAGTAAAATCTCGCCCGGGAACTGATCACTCTCGGTTATTATTTTTAAATTAAAGATTTCGCTAGAATCGCACTCGATCGAATTTGGCCGTTATTTAGAGCCCAAACTTTGGTGTCGAATTTCTCGGAGTTTCGGGACGAATTTAATTGGACGGTGTCGATATTATTGTGGCTAGCCTCGATATTGCCCGGAATATGTGAAAAGTGAATTTTTGACCGGGTGCGGATTTGGACAAGTAGACCTCCCTCGGGATAGTGTGATTTAATTAATTTGACCTTTGTCCCTTATTATATTCTAGGATTAATTTTGGACCGTTGGATCGTTTGTGGGTTCGAATCGTGGGCCGTTGGATCGCGATGATGGCGTTTGACTTTTGGGCCCCCTCTCCCCTCTCTCTCTCTCTCCTCTCTCCTCTCTGCCGCGTTGCTGATGTGCACGCGTTTTTCCCCCCTTGTCAGACTCTCTCTCCTCTCTCTTCTCTTTTTCTTCTTTTCTTCTTTCTTCCGTTCTTCTTCTCTTCCTTCTTCTTTGCCCGCGACTGCTCCAGCGTCTGCTTCTGCTTCTTCTCCTTGCTGCCCGTCGCCGTCCGCCCGAGCTCGCCCGACCACCGCGCGCCGACGCCAATCCGCCCGCCTGCCCGCCGCGCAGCCGCCGCCGAGCCCCCTCTCCTTCTCCTTTCCCTATTTTTCCCAGCCGAGTCGCACCGTCACCCTTGTCCACTAGCTCGCATTGCGCTGCGGCGCTTGCATGCCTGGTCTTTTGCTCAACCGCTCGCCGGCCGGGCCCGACCTACGCGCCGGCCAAACCGCCGCTGTGCAAGTGCCGCCCCGTCGCCGTCGTCGCCGCCCCCTTAGCCCCATCTCCCTCTCCCTCTCGCCCTCACCGCCCCAGCTCACCTCTCCTCTCTTCCGCACCGTCGCCGTAGCACGCCGCTGCACGTCGTTCTCGGCCAAATTAGGCCCAGCCGGCCCATCCCCGACCGATCGGCCATCACCGACCAGCCCGGCTACAACACCCCAGGCCAGCCCAGCCCGGCCGGCCATTAGCCCAGCCCAGCTCGCAGCCAAGTCACCCCGGGTCGTGGCCGAGCCGTTGCCTGCTCGCCCAGGCCACGTGCCCGGCGCCTTGCCTGTTCAGCCCAGGTGCCTCGCCCGTCCAGATCGCCGTTCGCCCACGGGCACGCCGTTCGGCCACCGCGCCGCGCGCGCGCGGGGCACGCCGATCGGCCACCGTGCCCGTGTTGCCGGCCGGCGCGCCGGCGCGCCCGTTGGCCGCGCCCGCGCCTAGTTCAACACTTGTTCACCGGGCCATTTAGGCCCGAGCCAATTTTCTCCGGGCCAAAACCAAGTAAGTGACCTCCTATTCCTTATTTAGGACTATGGGTATTTTTAGACTTGTTTAGGATGTGCTTGGTACCGGGTTAGGAATTAAATTAGGCGTGGGCTAATTTGACTGATTGTGCTCAATTTGTGACTGATTGTGCTCAATTTGTGAATTATTGTGGCGGTAATTGTATGGCTAATCTAGTGATTGACTGAGATAAATAGCATGACTGAATTGTCGTGGCGCTTGTGGGTGAATTGGATTAATTGAATGTGTTGACTTGAATGTCGGAATCTTGAGCTTGTGATTTGAAATTGGGATGATTGTGGGTGCATATTTGTGGCTATTGTGGTGAGTCAATGATTGGCTTATTGTGGCGGTTATGAGTGGAATTGATAGCTGAATGTGACCGACTTGAAGGTCGGGTTGGTGGAATATTGTGGTGAGCATGCCTTGAGTTTGATTGGTACGACTTGTGAGAATTTCGAATTGTGTTGTGGTGCATGTGCATGAGACAAGCCCGGATTGATCGGAGGGCTACGGACTTGGGACGTGTTGACGGCGGTCCGTGTGAAGGCATGAATGGCCGGTGTGCCAAATGGATGCGGGCTTGAGACGTGTTGACGGTGGCCCGTTAAAGGTGTGTTGGACCGGGACGTGTTTACGTCGGTCATTAGAATTGAGCCCGGATTGATCGGAGGGCTACGGACTTGGGACGTGTTGACGGCGGTCCGTGTGAAAGCATGAATGGCCGGTGTGCCAAGTGGGCCTGAGGCGCAGTGGCGCGGGCAGTGAGAATGGACCTGAGGCGCAGTGGCGCGGGTTGTGAGAAAGATGTTCGGCCACGCATGCGAATTGAGTGTGATTGAATTGGCTGGTTGAGCGTGTGATTGAATTGGCTGGTTGAATTGGTTGGATTGATTGAGTGCAAGTGTAGTTGGTGTTTGAGCAATTGTGATGTGTTATTTAATTACTATTATTGTATTATCACGTTGTGACTAACGTGTAGAGTTGGCATGAGCTTGATGACGAGGTAAGTACAATGATTTTATTTTATATGTATGGGGTAGATTGCATGTATGACTTGTCTGGGTACGCATGGGCCTACGTGGGGTATAGGGGGTTGCTTATTGAGACTCGTTCTCACGGTTATTATATAACCATTTCAGATCCGCGACCATGAGTGATTGGGGACGCTGCAAGGGTATCTCGGACATCGAGGACGGGTTAAGTACCCGGTATTTTGAGTTTTCCTTTTTGTAGAGGAGTTAAGTTTGTGAACTATTGTCTCTTTTGAGGGATGTGGTTCTGTTGTTGTGGCCTAGCTTGGGATTGTCTTTTTATGAGCGTCGTATGTATCTGCCGAGAGTAGGAATTACAGTTATCGTTTCATGCTATTGCTACCCCTTGTCATTATTAATTGTCTGGGTTGTTTCTATTTGTTTCCGCGCGTGCCTAATCTCTGATGTTTGGGTTGGGTCGGCGACGTGCCTGGGACGTCGCATTTAATGATCGACCATCGAGGGATGATCGCGTGCTCGTAGGGTACGGGGCGTGACATCCCGGTTGATTTGGTATCAAAGCAAGGTCAGCTTGAACCAAGATGGTCGAAGTTTGGAGTGATAAGGAGCGATGACTTTGGGGTAGCCAGTTAGGGAGATTTGTGTGCCATGCGTACCCCAGACTGTGTGATTGTGATTTGCTACGTGATTTTATGCAATAATGTGTGAGGTGCAGGTGCGTCAGGACTTGAGGTAAGTGCACGAACTCGGTTGACTGAGATTGAGTGATGTTGTGATCGACTGCCTGCTTAGTGAATTGTTGTGATTCATTGCCTAGGGCTTTAGACTGGTATAATTGGCCTAGGTCTTTAATTCTCAAGGAGAATTATAGCAGGTAAGTTGGTGGTGTGAACCCTTGAACCCTGTGAGGTTGAGTAGTCGAGGTTGAGGTCGTGTAGGTCCGCAAGTTGGAGTTGCAGAGGATCCCAGATGGATGGGATTTTGAGGGCACTCGAGGGAGTTTGAATTTTAATGGGAAGACAGACTGATGAGCGAAATGCTACTGTTGCTACTGATGCTGAGGCCACTGTTGTCGCCGCCAATGGAAATAACGAGAATCGTGGGTATAATGAAAATGTTGGGAATCAAGGTCAATGGCAAGTTAATGCAGTCAGACAGATGTGGTAGTCGGTTGGAAAATTTTTGAAATTTAAACCTGCAAGGTTCGATGGGAAAAGTGACCCTGAGGCTACATCACTTTGGATATAAGAGTTGGAAAAAGGCTTTGAAGTATTGGAGTGCTTGGTCGAGGCTTTCAATGGGAAGTACTTTTCGGAGAGTACGCGAGAACAGAAAAAGACAGAGTTTCTTCGGCTTTACTAAAATCGGATGTCAGTCGATCAGTACGAGGTCAAGTTTGTAAGGTTGTCTAAGTACGCACCAAGGATGGTCAAGGACCATGTGGATAGGACAAGGAGGTTCCGGGATGGATTGAAATCGGAACTCCGCAGTCAGTTAGTACTCTTGAGTCTTAAGGGATTACAATGAGCCGTATGAGAGGGCTCGATGGGTGAAATGGATATGAGTGAAAAGGCTGCCGTTTCTGGATCGTGGTATGCGCCGGTTAGGGACAATTGGAACTTGGGAAGAAGTCTATGACAGAGAATTGGAGATTTGTCCCTCTAGTAAGAAAGAACTTTGGGAAGCCGAATTATTACTCCAACGTCGCATGTCGGTCTCATGGAAAGAGGCATAGGAATGGCCATTGCCAAGGTAGAGGTGGAGCATGTTGTGGATGTGGACAGTAAGGTCACCAAGTGAGAAATTGTTGAACCGACAGGTTAGGTCACTAATGCAATCGCAGCGACCGCAGGTAGGACATTAAGCGAGAGCTGCCCCGCAGATTAATCAGAATCGGCTAAGGACGTAAGGAAAAGTGTATGTTGTGGCTGAGAAGGAAGTGAAGGATGTGCCTTGAAAGTCTAGATGCGTTATGAGATGGTATTGGGTACAATAGGAGATGATTTTGAAGTTATCGCTTGGGTAGTCATGTAAGACTTATAATCAATTTTATGGTGAATAGGCGCGATCGATTTAAGGATTTATGGATTACTAATGATATTCTTGGACGGGTTTTGAAGGATGAGTATTGCTTGGAAATTTGGATTTTGTAAAGAATCGGGGTGATTTAATTTGGGAGACTGTTGGATTGAAATTGGATGGATTAAGCCTCGTCTTTGAGGTGTGGAAAGATAACTATCTTGTGATTAACTCGTTGGTTAAGGAGTCAAGGCTAGAGGACATAGCCGAGGTGTGTAATCTTCCCGATGTCTTTCCTCTGGAATTGCCAGGATTGCCACCTGATAGGAGAGTCGAGGTTGTGGTTGAGTTGGCCCCAGGGACAAAACCAACCTTGGGAGCGCCCTACAAGATGTCACTGTCGGAATTGAAGGAATCGAAGGTCCAAATGCAGGAGTTGCTAGATAAAGGCTTTATCCACCCAAGTGCGTCTCCATGGGGAGCACCGGTGTTATTCGTGAGAAAGAAAGATGGATCTTTGAGGTTGTGCATAGACTACAAACGGTTAAATCAGGTGACCATTAAG